GTTTCACTAGAAGACGATGTTCTGAGGTCCAAGTATCATCAAATTGATCATCTCGACATCAAGATGTATGTGCATGAGAAAAAAAATAGATTTTAAGTTTTGGAAATAGTATTTTGTAAAGAATTTTTGAAACATCAATTTTCAAGATTTTCAAGTTTTTATAGATCGGTTGATCTATACCTTTTTTTAAAGCTTTAAACTTTATAATAGGGTGCGGTTTGTATAGAGCCTAGGTTCTAAACAATCAAATTAAGGCCTACCTTAATAGTATCCAGAAATGTGGTTTCAATATTGGAAATCTTTGTGCTAGTCTTAAAATATATTTTTATATTTATTAATAAAGTTTAAAGCTTAAAAAATAGTGTAGATCGACAGATCTATGAAAACTTGAAAATCTTGAAAATTGACGGTCTAGAAATGCGTTACAAAATACACTATTTTCAAAACTTGAAATCCATTTTTTTATCATATCCATGCAACTTGATGACGAGATTATCAATTTGAGAATATTTGAGCATCAAAATAACCTTTTTGAGGGAGGCTCTAATTTGATCGTTTAGAGCCTCGGCTCTATATAAACCTTTCCCTTATAAATAAAGATGAAAATATATTTTAAGGCTATAATAGAGATTTTTAGTATTAAAACAACATTATTCGAAACTACTATTTGAAGGTAGGCTTTAATTTGATTTTTTAAAGCCTAGACTCTATACAAACCGCACCCTAAATTTAATCCAATCGACTAAGTAACCCCTGTCACGTTCTTATAGCACTGTGTGCGTGGGTGGGCACCGTGCAGTGCGCACTTGATTTTGGGAGTGTGAAACATAGTGGATGTATTTGTTTCTAGAGTAAATAGGTTAACAGGTAGGGCTGGCAACAGGCACGGTTGGGTCTAGACCCGAAAAATTCATGGGACCCGGACCCGTATAGGCCCAAAATTATTGGACCCAAACACGTATGGATCTGAAGTTATCGGACCCAAACCTAGACCCGATTGGACTTGAGCCAAAAATAAAAAAATATAAATTTAAACATAGTTAAATGTTACGTTAAAAATATACATGTATTATTTATTAGGTTATGTTAAGGTGCTCTGAGTAATTTATCATTATACTCAATGATTTTGGACACTTTTATACCTTTGTTGTACATGGATAAGTATCACCATATCCCCTATTTTTAGATGGACACTTCTCTACTTTTGTTTTGTACATAGATAAATATCTCTATATCCCCTATTTTTAGATTTTATTTCTTAATAAACTCAAGGTTTCAAAAACTATCCCCTATGGCCACTTTAAACTTATTTTTTAACTTAAACAAATGTGGGAAAGACAAACATCTCTCTCCTCCAGTATTTATCCAAATACCTCTATCTCTTTTTGGTAACCTCTCATCACCAAACACCTCTATCTTTTTTTGTATTTATCTAAATATATCTCTTTGTCTCTGTATATTTATTGTGTATTTAGAGGAGAGAGAGTAAGGGGAGAGAGATAGAAAACATTAAAAGAGAGAGCAGGAGGAGAGAGAGTAAGGGGTTAGAGATGGAAAATACAAAAAAAGAGCAAGAGGAGAGAGAGTGAGGAGAAGAGAGAGTAAGGGGTTAGAGATGGAAAATACAAAAAGAGAGCAAGAGGAGAGAGAGTGAGGGGTTAAAGATGGAAAATACAAAGAGAGAGCACGAAGAGAGAGACTGAGGAGTTAGAGATGGGAACTACAGAGAGAAGGGGTGTAGGAATAGAGAAAGATAGAAAACTTTGGGAGGATGACCTTTTGAAAAGACTTATTTCTTTAGATTTGTTTGGATTTAAAAAACACGTTTAAAGTAGCTCAACGAGTTAAAAGGAATAAAATCTAAAATTTTGCCCCAAGATATTTTTTAAAGTTTTTTTGTGAAATGAAACCTAAAAATAAAAAAATTGAGATATTTTCACCTTTTTTTTTTTTATAAAAGTATTTTTGGTCATTAGGAAGTATGATATCATCAGCCTATGGTGTGACGTCACTCACATGGAGCACGTTACCGCCTCTTAATGACCAAGACCAAAAGTACTCTTATTAATTGTTGAGTACAATGATAAATTACTCCATAATGTGAAGACCCTAAAATAAATTACTCCCCCGTCATAATGACCAACAGTACTATTATTAATTGTTGAGTATAATGATAAATTACTATATAATGTGAGGACCCTAAAATAAATTACTCCATAGCGTGACATCACCCACATGGAACACACTAATGCATTTAATGCTCTTAATGACCAAAATTATTCTTATTAAATATTACAATTAAAAATATATAGTTATATTTAATTAAATATTATTAAAATATTATATATTAAATATTATTGGTGCAATAACACTATTCGAGTTTCTATTGAAACTTGAATATGAGACCACGCAAAAACCTACAAGTAAATAAGAGTTACAAAATATGGTTGAAATTGAAATCCAAAACAAAACAAAGTTTACGGTAACGGTAGAATGGAGCAAGTTTAAATTTTTTTTTTCGAAAAACAGTTGTTATTTTTTAAAAGCATTTATGAATCACATGCGAAATTGAGGATTTATTTGGACGAAATTTGCTTGATTCATCATGAAGCTTTCCACCTAAATGTTCCGGGAGAAGATATTTTGGATGAAGCATTCACGTTCACTAATAGGAATCTCATGGCCTTAAAACTGATCAATTAGAGATAATTATTGCTTACAAAATACAAGATGCCATTGATAAGTCAAGCATTACATGCAAGTCCATGAGAAAGAGAAGATGTGATGCCCTCTTTGCTTGAATTTTCTAAATTCGACTTCAACTTGGTACAGAGTACACACCAAGCCAATCTCATGCATATGGACCCGCCCCAATCTACTGTTGGCCTGTTTCTTTTCTTTAATCTAATTAGTCAGCTAAATTCTTATTTTAAAAATGTATAGTTAGGTGGTGGACTGATTTGGGCTTAGCAAATAAGCTACCTTTTTCTAGGATTAGGGAAGGTTTCACCAAATTACGTTGCTTAATTACATCAATTGATGATTGTTTATGATGTGTATGGGTCATTAAACAAACTAGAATTGTTCACTGAAGCCATCCAAAAGTAAAAAAGAGTGGTTCTTCCTTTCAATGTAATATATTTTATGCTCCACACATTTGGTAAAATTTAGGTGGGATTTGAAAGCCATTGAGAGTACATGAAAATATGTTATTCGGCGAGGATGGAATACTTGAATAACTCATAACTCATGATTTTCAAGCTCAGGGTCATTTTTTTTTTTTTTGGGTTTACAAAACTAAGGAATTTTATTTATAATATATTTTTTAATATTTTTTACATTATGGTAAATATTAAAAAATATTTAGGTCATTAATACTCACTTTTAAAATCTATTTTTTCATTAATTTTTAACTTCATTTGAATACATTTTCTTTTAATCATTATTTATACGTTTTTCATATTTTAGTAGATTGTTTTGTATCTTTTTTATTTTTTTCAATAATTTTTTAGCTGCTCGGGATTTGCCCGATTAGAACGGTTGAATCGATCGATTTACCAGTTAGGTTGGTTAAACCGCTTCATGTCCTATATCAAATTAACCGTTTTGGTTCGATTTTACTCATCCCAATTCATTTGGAGGTTCATCTAGAAAGTACGATGAAATATCACAAACACGCTCATTATCTAAACTCTCTCTAAGTACCTAACCTATCCTTCCAAGAGCATACTATACACTTATTCCCTCGTGTCAAAGAGATATTTTGGAGACAAATATGCATTTAAATTTTTGAGAACCACTTAAAAATCACTCGATAATTACTTTCAAAAAGAAAAAAAATAAAGTTTCAGTTTCTAGATACTTGAACCTCTCTATGATCCTTGATGCTAATCTTTTTAGGCAAATTCATAATTGGATTTTTTTTGTTTTTCACCCCGGAAGAGGGTTAGGTCTCCAAATTTTGGGGTCATAAAATTGATCGTGATTGGGTTTTACCTTATCGAGCGAACCAAGAAAGTGCACACAAAAGAGCTTTCACTCCCGGGGTGTTCAAGGGATGTTGAAGGTCACATCTGAGTGAAGTGTCACATGGCTAAGAGAATTTCACTACGCAATTGAATTAAAGTAACATCAAGAAAGTGAAGTTGTACATTCATGTTGACGATGGCGACGTTGGTTATTTACGACGACGATGGTGATATTGTTGTGCGCGGAAACTCTAACCCTAATGGGTTGATTTTTGATAAATAAAATATGAGAAATAAAACATGAAATACATATTATAAGAACATAAATATTTATGTGGCTCACCTTAGAGGGCACTACAAACTGAAATCCCTTGTATCAATAAAAGTTACATCAAAGATTTTGGAACAGAAAATTACCTCTCTAACTCTTGACAAAACCCAGTTGAGTAAATTTTTTTAAACGACCATCTCTTTCTTCTTTTTGATTCTGACAACTATTACCGATAACACTAAATGGAGATGCGAGACCAACAAGAAAGTAATTTTATCTCTAACTAAAAGAAAAACCATCCAAAATCTCTATAAGAACCCCTTTTCTAAAAGAAACAAGCCTCTCAATCTCGACGAGTCTTAAAAATAATTTTTTTATAAAATATAATGACCAAAATACCTTTTGAATCTTTCAAGGATATTTTGATCATTTTATTTTATTAGAAATAATTTTTAAATATTTTTCGTCAGTGCGAGTTTAACAGAGGATAGGACGTTCAAAATTTGGTGGCAAAGTAGTTTATAAAAATAAAAATAAAAATAAAATAGTGTAGAGAGGTGATATTGTGATTAAAGAAATCTTATCCCTCCATTCAGAATGGACGGTTAGATAAGGAGAAGTATATAAGTTTTACACGGTAGAAAAAACATAAAAAGCTTGCCTTAGACGTTTCATATATGTATGTTCACCAAACTTGGCGTCCCAATCTCACCCTTTCTTACGGCTGTATATAAACATGATCATAGCATTCAAGAAGCAATATAAGTGGATCTCTCTCTCCCTCAAAAGGATAGTACTCTCTTTCTGTCTCTCTCACACAGCAACATATCACCTGAAAATCGATGTATATAATGTGTATATATATATTCATGGGGTTTCCCCGTGTTCCATACGGTGAATCAAGCGTCTCATTAAACCAGTTTCACAATGGTTACATGTGTGCCTCTGATTCACACCACAATGTCCTGGTTGCGCATGCAAACAAGCCGCAAAACGATTCAATTAGGTTATCCTCTGCCTTCACGGTGCTTTACGAGCTCTGAGTCCTCTGCGACATCAATCGCCAGGCGAACTGCGAATTTCATGCCGACCATTTGGGATCCCGATCGTATTCAATCAGTAAGAAGTGATTTTAAGGTATTTTTCACTGTGAGCTCATGCATGATTATTATTATTGATGTTACTCGAGTAGTCTTCTTTATTCTTAAGGGAAAGCTTTCTATGTTTCCCCTACAACATAGAAGTTCTAATGTTTTTCCCTTTATCCAACCGTCCAATTTTTAATAGAGGGTTAAGTTTGTCCCAATCATAATGTCAAAGTCATTTTATTTTTAATTTTTTTTTATAAATTATTTTGACATCAAATTTTGGACGTCCATTTCCTAACTCGCACTAACAACAAATATAAAAAAATATTTTCAATAAAATAAAATAACCCAAATACCCCTGAAAGTTTCAAGGGGTATTTTGGTTATTATTTTTTATCTAAAAATTATTGTTAATATTTTTTGTAGGTGTGCCCCAATGAAAAGATGACACATACCAAATTTCATGTTTAAAAAAATTGTATTAAAAAAACTAAAAATAAAATACTTTGAGATGTCGAATCTAAGATCAAACGGTGAGTGGCACTCTTGATAAAAAATGGACGACTGGATGGTGGGAGAAACATAGAACTTTTATGTAGTAGGGGGAACATTGAAAGCTTTCCCTATTCTTAATCTTTCATGAATTGTGAGATAGGATACGAAAGTAAGTTCAAAAGGCTTTTCAGTTTTTGGATATACTTTTAACAAAGGATCAGAAAAATGGACTGAGCGAAATTACTCAGGCCCTGACCGAGGCAATTTATTCGAGTAAGTTAAAAGAAAATCATGAAAATGTTTATATATCTATATAATTAGCACCAGTTTCTATAATTAAGTGGTGAGTGGGGAGTGGCGTCATGGTTAGCGTGCTCGATTGCCTTCCCGCCCATGTGATCGAATCTCAAACTTTTTTTCCTTTAAATTAAGGTGGAAAAATATATACTGAAATATATATGTTTTAATTGCTTACAAAACAAGTTCTATGTTACTTAACAGTTACAAATTTAGGTTTGTACCACTAAAAAATTCTTATATTTTGGGTTAATAATACAAATTGATAAAAAAATTAGCTTTTTTCATCTATAAAAAGTATAATTAATAATACAAAAATTATCATAGTACTTTTTTTTAATGTCCTTTTTTATTTTCAAAAAATAAAAAATAAAAAATTTCGAATTTTGACAATTTGAAAATGGTTGGGCAAAAAAAAGAAACAGAAGAAAAATTGATCGATATAAGACAATTGCTCAGAAAAAAAAACTGATCACTATAGGGATTCAAAACAAATAAAAATCAGAAAAAATTGATGAGTAATTATAGAGAAACAACTAATTTAGAGGAATTTTACAGTTCACCGATATTACATATATGACGCACTAAATCAATCAATATTAGAGCAAAAAGCACAAATCAGTAGAGGGGTTTTCAAGTTTATTTCAATATCTTAAGACAATCTAATAATCCAAAAAATATATTGAAAAATTAGAGAGAATAGTAGATTTTGTGAAATTTTGAAAGTTCATCAATATTACCTCTTTGATGCACAAAATCAGTCGATATTGGAGCAAAAAAATCATAAATCTATAGAGGGCTTTTGAAGCTGATACCAATAGATTCGAAATGAATAAAAAATCAGAAAACATTGTTGAGTAATCAGGGAGAAACAACATACCTAGTAGAATTTTCACAGTTCATCAATATTATCTCTATGATGCACTAAATTAATCGATATTGGAGCAAACAAATGTAAACTAATATAGGGGCTTTCAAGTTTATTTCAATATATTAAAAGAAATAATCTAATAATCAGAAAATTATTGTTGAGAAATTATAGAGACATAAAAGATTTTGTTATTTTTTGATAATTCATAAATATTACCTCTTTGATATACGAAATCAGTCGATATTGGAGAAAAAAACCACTGATCTGTAGAGGGCTTTTGAAGATGATTTCAAAAGATTAAAAAAAACTAAAAAGAAAAAAAAATTGTTGAGTAATTAGAGAGAAATAATAGATTTCACGATTTTTTGACGGTATATCGATATTACCTCTTTGATGCACGAAATCAGTTTATACTAACTAAAAAAAACTTTTTTTAAGCTTGTTTCAAAAGCTTCAAAACAATCAAAAAATCATTCGATTTGGAGTTGGAAGTAAGTGAGAATAGACAAGTTTGGCTAAACTTTTTATTTTTTAGCACAAAGAACCACCCTCAAACCGAAAATTTACGATGATGGAACTTAATAGATTTGCGAATTAGTACATGGATTTTGTAGATAATTTCAATGTATTGAAAAAGCCAATAATCAATAAATTTTATGAAGAAATCATAGAGAATATAGAAGTTTGGCGGATTATCTATTATCGCTCAAAGAATCCTACCAACCAACAAAATTTGTGATGAAATCTTGTTCGATTTGGATTTTTATGAACCCAAATTGTATCATAGAGATTAGATTGTTGTTAAACACAAATAGGTTCCCAATAGTCTATAAAAATTAGTCCAAAATTCCAACTTTTCAGTTCAAGAAACTTTCCATATTTTGAGATCCGAGTTTTATCTGCGAAAATGCCATACTAGAGCAGGTTTCACCGTTTTGAGCCAAGTCTTGCAACATTACTAGGGACTAATGTTCATTCAAGAGGTAAAAATCCACTTGCACCAATGACCCGTGCCTACTCGACCTCAGCAATAGGGTGAAGCCGAGTCGACTCGGTTGAGTCTAAGAACCATGCTTTTAACATAGATAAACTTTTCCTTAATATATAAGTTGATCTTTTATAAAACTAATCTTTATTTATTGAAAGTCATTTGCTGATAATCACAAATATTTTTCTTGAAATTGCTGAAAATATCTAGAAATCATGCCAAAAACAAGTTAAAAAGTAAAAAAAAAAAAAAAAAGTGCATAATACAAGGTACACTTCAAACAGCTAACAATATAATTATGTTAATTTTAGAAAAGATAGGGCATTGCTATGCAGCAGTTTATACGGGGCATTAATTTATGCAATCTTTCAGTACGAAAACATTGTCATCATTAGGTTCAAAAAATGCCTTCCCTCCATTTTCCAATTGGATAAGAGTTTCTTAGATGCAGGAAGAGGAATATATGAGCCGAACTGAAGCTCTAAAGAAACAATTCAAGGCTCTTTTAAGGAGGACAACCGAGCCAATCGCCCCACTTGAGCTCATTGACTCAATCCAAAGGCTGGGAGTGGGGTATCACTTTGAGCAGGATATCAAAGTGGCTTTGGACACTATTTACTCCAATGCTGATATCCAACAGTCATGGAGTGATGATCTCTATGCAACATCCCTTGCATTTCGACTGCTTAGACAACATGGATACCGGATGCCATCAGGTTTGTAGCACAAAATTGTATTCATATAGGTTAGGGCCTGACTTCCCTCTCCCTCTTTTCTTCTAGAAATTAGAGTATCTATTGAAACTTTATATATGAGCTCAAGCAAAAGCTATTAGTAAATAAGGGTAACAAATATGGTTGGAATTTAAATCCAAAACAAAATAAAATTTTATGTAAAATGGACCAACTTGAACAGTTTTTGAAATAGGTTGGATTTTCGAAAGGTATTTATGAATCACATACCAAATCGCGGAATTATTTGGACTGAATTTGTTGTTTACATTATTAAGAAAGACATTTTCTAAAGGAAAAAGATTTCATGGTTACTATGATGCTCATATTTTCTTTGTTCTTCTCTAAGGTTTAACTCCTCCTCCAAGATGGACTTTGGGCTGTCCATTCAAGGGATAAGCACACTAGAGGTTTAAGAGATCAAAATCAATCTTTTCGCCCAAAAAAAAATACTCATAAGGTGAATAAAAAATGATTTTGGAAAAGTCCAAGTCATAAAATTCCTCCTAAGTACGTATTTTTTCTCTAGAACCAAATGTAGAATTGGTTCTCACAGGGCTATCATTTACCTACATTTTTCAAATGTCATAAGTGGATCAGATATGATTTCCTAGTGGCTCTCTTGGTGGAAGAAGAGGAATTGAACTGAATTTGGAAAGCATATGAAAGACACTTTTGTAGAAGATTTAATATAGATAAATTTGTGCTCCCAGATGTATTTTGCAGATTCATGGACGAGAAAGGTAGTTTCAAAGTAAGTTTGATTGGAGACGCCAAAGGAATGTTGAGTTTGTATGAAGCATGCCACCTATCTGTTCCTGGAGAAGATATTTTGGATAAAGCATTCACATTTACCAGTAAGAACCTCATGGACTTAACTGATCGATTAGAGCCAAGTCTTTCTCAAAAAGCACAACAAGCTTTAGAGCTGCCTTTGCATTGGAGAATGCTCAGGCTAGAAGCTAGGGATTACATTCAAGTCTATGAGAAAGAGAAAGACATGATCCCCTCTTTGCTTGAATTTGCTAAATTGGACTTCAACTCAGTACAGTGCACGCACCAAGCCGATCTCAGGCGTATGTCAAGGTAAGCTTGTTCTTTGCATTCATGGACCTACCCCAATCTACTCTTGAATTCGTTTTTACTTATCAATCAGCTTAATTCTTAGTATTAAAAGTTTATACCTAGGTGGTATAATGATATGGGGTTCGCAACTAAGCTACCATTTGCTCGGGATCGGATCGTTGAAAACTGTTTATGGAACATTGGGTATTTATTCGAGCCCCAATTTTCAAGGACTAGGGAAGCCCTCATCAAAGTCCATTGCTTAATTACAGCGATTGATGATGTTTATGATGTGTATGGCTCGTTAGATGAACTGGAACTTTTCACTGAAGCTGTCCAAAGGTACAAAAGAATGAATTTTCCTTCCCAATGAAGTAATATATATCTATCACATATGTTTGTGCTCCACAATTTAATTCTTACAATATAACAATTCAAATTTAGGTGGGATTTGAACGCCATGGAGAACCTTCCAGATTACATGAAAATATGTTATTTGGCATTGTACAACACAACAAACATGATTTCATACGATATTCTCAAGGAGAAAGGATGGAATATCACAAACTACCTTAAAGATATGGTAACATAATATCCTGTTGTGATGTTTGAATTACTTTAAGAACATTGTATTCTTGCTATAATAACTTGTGTTAATTTTTAACTTCAGTGGGCAGGATTATGGAAAGCGGACTAGTTGGAGGCAAAGTGGTTTAGCATGGGGCACAAACCAACCTTAGAAGAATACTTAAATAACTCATGGGTTTCAAGTTCAGTGCCAGTTATCTTGATTCATGCATACTTCCTCATTGCACAAAGCATCACACAAGAGGCAATAGATTACATTACCACTGAATCAAGACTCATTTATTGGTCATCAATGGTCCTTAGACTGTGCAACGACTTGGTAACAAGTCCGGTGAGGCTAACTCTTCGTTGCTTGAATTATTTATCACATGGATGCAATTCGTGTGGGAGAAAATTGTACATTACTGCTATGGAAAAAACACCAATTTAGGAGGATTGTTCTAAAAGTTTACAAAATAGATTAATCAAATAGACAATGTCATAAAAAACTGAAAAAGAAGATTTTGAGCTCCTAAAGCGCAAGATCAAATAAAAGGTCTTCATACATTACTCGAGCAGACAATCATTTGGGTAATTTTTTAACCATGAAATAAAATTTTAGTTTCTACATTGATCCTTGACTTGAAAGGACATGTTTTGAAAGTTATAGGGTTACACAAATCCTTCATAGTGGGGGCTTTTGCCCTAGGTGTTGGGTTCATGTGGTTTTTAATGGCCTTATAAGTGCTTGTAAAATGAAATGACATACTGGAACATGAATTCAGTGGGAGTGTGGTCCCTCGTGGGCCATAATAAGCAATCGATGTTTGCAGATACTGAATTGTGCTTGACGATCTAGGCCAGTCGGTTGGGAAAAACCCATGTTACCTGGGCATAAAGAACAAACCGAGAAGGGTTGTAATGGGTTAGCCCTTGATATGGTCGGAGAATATGCCCAGATGAGTGAGCCGAGGGACTGTGTAACCCTTGTGTGTGATGGTGGCCTACAGAGACAGGGGCGAAAGCCTCATCCATGTGCGATCACATGGCATGCATATTGATAGATCATTCGGGAAAGCCAGAAATCTACTTTTTAGGGTAAAGCATATGCATGTGCGAGAGATACCCCTATGCACCATAGCAGCTATGGTCGCATCAGGTCTAGGTGACCTTGACTTTTATTTAGGGGAGGACCTGAAATCCACAGACTGGGATTGAGATCCTTTAGCTTATCGGTCGGACTTTGGTGACCCGTTAATGAGCCCTTGCTTAGATTGTGAGTCATGGGAAGCACTGGGTCGGTCTGACAAAGCAAGTGTGGTCTGTAGTCCAAAGTTGAAGGAAGAGTGCATCACGATTGTTGATTCCTAAACCATATGGATCCTTTTCCCATCAAATTAATTTAATTATCTTTGTTTTAGGATGAAAACTATTTTAAGATTATTATTTGAATTTTTATGAATCCTTAGATATTTTATTTATAATTTTTGGATTTATAAAATTAAAGATATTGATTTTACAATTGTTTAAATATTCAAATAATTCTCTAAAATATTTTTATTAATTTTAAATATATAAAAATACCATGGGGGACCATTGTTCACATGGGCCCTCCATATTTTTAAAAGGTGGGGCCCATGAGTGCCTCCCTTGGGTGGCACGACCCACCCTTATTCTCTTTCGTATTTTTTGTTGATATGACATGTAGCCATATGGTTGGAAGATATTGACTAACTATTGACTTGATATATCTTTGAAAGATTTTGTGGAAAGATTGAATAGACTTGAGCTATTTTATGATATGCACAATATTTTGATTAGATTCAATTTATTTAATTTCTATTGATAGGAAAATGGTTTAGAAAAAGGGGGATAATGGTTCATGCACCTTCCATAATGTTGATGACCAATCTTTGGAATAGATGGCTCAAATCTCTCACCCCACAAGTCTCCCTTGATCGACGGTCCATATTCAAGCTCTCAAGAAGAGACAAGTCAAAGAAAACCCCAAGAAACCCTAATCTTATTCAAAGCTTATAAAAATGGATTGTCTCTACCAAAAAATCTCTACACCTTATCTTTATATCTCTCTCTTAAGAAAGTTTATCTCTCTCATGTTTGATCTCTCTCTCCCACATTGTGAAAGAACCTAAGGGTTTAGGTTCTTCTATCCTATCTCTCAAATATGGATTTATGGTTAAGGGTTTTAGGGTTTAGCAAAAAGAGAATATATCTCTAAAAAACTAGGTTGCTAAGAGAATTCACCTAGGGTTTGAGTTTGTAATCAAAGAAGTTCATGTTCCATTAATGTGGTTTGGCCGAAATTTGCTTTCCCGGTTCGAGATTGAAGCCAGACCGTTGGTCCCGCACCATCGGATGGTCGTGAATCGGTGTGGAGTATAATAAGCCCGGTTGAGGTAATCTCCGGCACTCTTCCTTTTGTTTGTTACAATCTTATCTTTTATTCTCAAGCATAGTGTATAGTTGTTTCAATGACATCAAGTTGTTAAGATCTTGGTTTTATTGTTATGTTGATTTTGTTTTGAAATTTATCTTACTATAATAAAGACCACATGTAAGTGATCTTTTGCTAAAAGAATGGGGTGAAGAAAAAAAAAAAAAAAAAAATTCTATTTCCCGATAAATGATCACATAGGTATTTCTTTCACTAGGAATAAGTGTTACAATTTGCTCTCATGGGAGCACTTCCTTTTATTATTTGTTAAAGGACAATATTTAGATGACATAAGTTTATTACTTGATTGATGCAGGATGACATCCTAAGAGGGGATGTCCCAAAATCTATTCAATGTTATATGCATGAAACAGGGGCATCTGAGGAAGCCGCACAAAAACATATCAAGGAGATGATTAGAGATGCATGGAAGAACCTCAATGCAGAGTGTCTTGCACCATCCATCTTGCCAAAACCCTATGTCAATTTCGTAGTTAATCTTGCACGGATGGCCCATTGTGCCTACTCGAATGGAGATGGATTTGCAAGACCTGACTCTGAGACTAGGGAACATATTAATAGATTGTTCATTCATTCAATTCCACTAGATTAACCTATTTGTGTACCCATTCCAATATACTATTTTAATTCACGCAAATGCCTTCGTTCAGATGGGAGAACTATTCATTGATTAACTATGTGAGCCAAGCTGTGTCAAGATCCTGTAAATTGTTGTTAGTCTCTCTAGACCTGATTTGGTGTTCTGCACTTAGTGGCATGATCCTTTGCAACAAAAAGAATGTTGACTTGGATGATATTTATTTAGTTCCACAAATTAACTAGTAGTGTAATTATGTAATCAATGCTATTGTATCGTTTTTATGGTAAGTTCCAATCTTAATCGACGGGTCTAGGTTTTCATTCTCACTTGCGCATTCAAAACCCACTATTTCTAAAATCCAAAAAAAAAAGAAAAGAAAAAGGAATGAAGTTCCAATCTTAACAGTGGCAAGCAATTCTAGCGAAGAAGGACATTCTTGAACACATTTCATGCCAAATATCCTTTGAAAACACAACTCCAACCCACTAATATGCTCATTGAAAGAGAGCACTTCTTGAACACATGCTTCAAGGAGGATAGATCTATATTATGAACAAATGTTCCTGGTTCTTAGGCATAGTGAGTATGAAATGGAATATAATTTACCCTCTACAGTCCTAATTGGGGCTATCTATTGGGCCTAGATGCTAATTGATTTTTTTTTTTTCCTTTAATGTTAGCATTTACTTCCATTAATCGTGTCAAAATTGATGTACATGTATAGGAATTCAATGCTTTAGAAAGTGGGTTCACTTATATAATACTCTACAAGAAAAAAAAAATTGAGTGACACAGGTTGAGTTCTTCTCATTCCCTCAGACTATCTCCTAGGAGTGAGAAATATGACTGCCAAGGTTAAATAGCCGACTACAAAATTTGTCAAACAATATCATGAGTTTCACAGATTCATCTTTACTCAAGTGACCCATTAGATTATGTTTAGTGGGTCACTATTTATACATGAGACTAGAGCTTGGAATGTTGAGAGCCCTATGTGGTTGCTCCTCTCTCTTTGGCTTCATTCTCTCTCTCTATAAGACATGGTGACTTATAAACCGACTTATAAGAATAGATATGGTGACTTATAAACCGACTGAAAGTATGACCCTTAATAGAGAAGAATGATAGAACAAGATTTGTGTAGCTGATTTTAGATAATTGATATAAAGCTCATATGTTAATAATATTTTTTTTAAGGCATTGTATACTATATGACCATTTATTTTTTTTAGATACAAAATCTTGAGAAAATTACAGATATCCCCCAGAGTTGAACTTTCTAGACAACTTTCCTCCAACCAAGCTTTTTTTTCACATTTTTCACCCCAAAATATATTTTCTTACAAATATCCCCCAAGTCATAAAAAAGAGTAAATAAAATCAAATTACCACCCCGGCTCCCCCCATCAACCTCCAAAATTAAAAAGCCTTTTTCTCTCTCTCTCTCTCTCTCCTCTTTCTCACCCATGAAATTTGTTTTTTTCAAATACATCCAACAAAGTTTACCTGTGGTCCAGCACTTTTAAAGCCAGTTCGGCAATGTTAGTCTGGCAGTTGCTTTATTGGGTCCAACATTCTTTAATTTTGGTCCGGCAATTTAGAAGTTGAGCATGTTCTACAAGGGATCCAGTAGTTTTAAGCTGTCTTGTAATACCAAGCGATGGGTCCGACGCTTTTTTGTCTCTGTTTGGCACCATAATTATGCGGTCTGACAATTTTGTTGTGCGGTTCAGCAATAGATGTAGTTTCGGTCTTTTTTGTCAGTCCATTTCAATATTTAACTATTGTATGAAATAGGATATTTTTGTCCACAAAAATGACTTCTTGACTTTACGGGGTATTTGCAAGAAAATTATTTTTTAGGGTAAAAAATTGCGACAAAAAAAGTTTGGTTGGAGGAAGATTGTCTAGAAAGTTAAACTTTGAGAGGTATCTGCAATTTTCTCTAAAGTCTAATAGATGAAAGTGTGTCATGACTTTCAAAAAATTTTATTTTGCGCTTTACACCTAAACAATGACGTATCCTCAACAATCATATTTTATATTTATGTTTTACTCGTGAAAGTGATAAGAGGGCAAGGTGAACAAGAGAATTGTTGTACATGGTGCAAAAGGGCACTAAGTATTGAGGGTCCTAGGCATTGATTTAGAGCGTACGATAAAATAAGATCTAAAGGATGAGGTTTTTATAACGCTTGGGCTTTATGAAAATAAAATAAACCCTCATCTCAATATCTCATCTAAAAAGCACTTTCGGCAGTAGCAATCCCTATTATGGTTCACCAATCAATTTTCAACACCGATAATGAAATTCAAAATTTAAAAAATGGTACATATCTTACGGATCTATGAACATTTATTTTTAGCGTGAAATAGACGATTTAGGTAATTTGTTACAATATACACCATTTTTTAAAACTTGCAATCTTTTTTTTTCACAACCATAACGTTCAAGCCAAGATGATTGATCTAAAGGCTTTCTAACTATTGAATTGTAATTTTCGATGAGTTATGAGGTGAGGCTTTACTTGTTATGATATCCAACTATTTTCCATATCTAACCACTCTCTCTCTAATAAATGATATGGTTTCTATGGCCAACGCGCATATGTAGAAATGCAGCTCGACAATAAATATATTCTTTAAATATAATTTGATCTTAACTTTTATGTAATATTGAACGTGGAGATCATGAATATAAAAAAACAAAATTTGAAAACTAAAAATAATAATTGTATTAAAAAAAATATTTGGACGGTTAGTTACAATTATTTTTAAATTGACCGCCTATTTGCATCCATCTTTAAGATGTATGCTTTATACCTCCGGACCGCATATTGTAAAAATACAGTCCGGCCGCATGAAACAATTTTCCCTCTCTAAATTTCTAAACTCTCTTTCTATCTAAGTACCCAACCTATTCACCCAAGAGCAAACAATACACTTAATCCCTCAGGCCCAAGAGAGACTTTGGAGGGAATTTTTTATTTTAATATTCGTGAACCACTTAAAAATCACTCGATAACTATCCTATATTTTAGATTTACGATGATGATGATAACAATAATGATGATGATAATAATAATGTATTCATGAAATCTCTCCTGATTCCATGTCATGAATCAATTGAGATACTCATCAACCATTTCTCATGAAACCTCTTTCTATCGTGAATCAGTTGAGACTCTCATTACCCATTTCTCATTAAACCTCCTTCTCAATGGGTGATTATGTTGGAAAGTCTTTTGTGTTGCACCCAATAACGCGTAAGGGTCTATCATCTCCATTGATTCACCCAAAATAAAAGAAAAAAAAGAAAAAAAAAAGAAAAGCATTTCTCATTAAATCTCCTTCTCAATGGCGCTAGGTATACATCTTTTTCACAAAACAAAAGAAAAAAAAAAAGCATTTCTCATTAAATCTCCTTCTCAATGGCTCTAGGTCTACATCTTTTTCACACCACATTCTCCTGGGTGCGCACACAAACAAGTCAAAAAAAAATTCCGATCGTATTATCCACCATTTGTACGATGCCATATGAGCTCAGAAACCTCTGAAACAGCGACCGCTTGGCGATCTGCGAACTAGATCCCCACCATTTGGGATTAAAATCATACTTATTCAATAAAAAGCGATTTTAAGGTATTTCTTGAGGTCATGGTTCCATTATTCACCCGAGTCCACTCAAACTTTGATAAGTTACTCGACAGAGTCCGAGTATACCGAGTCGTGTGTACAACTCAGGCTGCATAAAAAAAATATTATTGCTGCTTCACTTTGGACTCAGCCTTGTCTAAAGCGAGTAACTCAACATTTACCGACAAATTGCCCTAAATTAAAAGATGAAAAGATTATCTTAGAATAAAATGAAAATTAGTAAAGTGGAACAAAATTACAAAACTAAAGACAACATAAGAAGTCCCAAAAAGCTAAAAAATAAAAATAAATTTAGAAAAACTATATATGGCTATTGATATTTTAGATAAATATAAAAGTAAAATAAAAAAATATAAAACATACGAGAAAAGATATGATAACTTATGAACTGATTAAAAATACAACCCTTTATAAAGCTGAATGGCAACTGGTCGTCATTTATAGGGATAAGAGAAGAAGCGTACATGGTGATCCCAGGGCAACTTGCCGTCGACCCTACTGAGCTTTGTCATCCTTGTTTACAGGTGAAAGCAACGTGAGTGCAAATTGCCAACATTTACGGGGATAAGATAAGTTGCGCGCATGGTGCTAAAGGGAAGTAAAAATGTTTGTGGATCCCATTTCACCTGGTATTAAAGGCTCATCCAGAAAGTACAATGAAAAATTCTCTCTAAATATCTAAACTCTCTCTCTAAGTACTGTAACTGTTGCAGTTTAAAATTTGGGTGCAATTGGCATACGGATTATCCAAAAACAAGGGCTAAATATACTTGGACCAATGGAAGCTCTGTCGTGCTTTTTATGTCAAAAATTGACAGGTTCTTAGTATCCCCCGAGTGGTTAGAATTTTTCCATTAGCCTCTGTGAGAGCTCTCCCTAGACTCTCTTCTGACCACACTCCGATTTTGTTAACCTATAAGGGTTGCTCTGGTGGTATTAGGCCTTTTTGGTTTGAAATTGATTGGTTAAAGGAGAAAGAAATCTCAAAAATTATAAAAAGTACGTGGGAGAATTCAGTCACCACTGGATCACTTGATTATCAACTCCATAAAAAACTGGTAAATATTAAACATAAACTCTTGAAGTTGAAAAAGGAAAGTATTCTTCTGTAAAGTGCAAGATTGATGCGCTTCTACTCTCTATTGAGGACCTAGACTTTGTGATGCATCAGAATGATGAAAGGTCTGAGAAGTTGGTGGTGGAGAGAAGTGAAAAACTCAATGAGTTACAGGAGCTTAGGAGGGTGGAAGAAGTATAATGAAGACAAAGGTCGAGGGTTAAGTGGCTTAAGGAAGGGGATTTGAACACAAAATATTTCCATTCTATTGCCAATACAAGGAGATGCCAAAACGATATTTCTGGTTTGTCTGGGAATAGGGTAGATCAAGAGGACAATGAGGGTATATCTCAAGTTTGTTAGGTTTATGTGGCCTTTAAAGGCTTTATGAGTGATTGTAAAATGAAATGATATAATGAAACAAGAACTCAGTGCGTGGACTCTACTAAACAAACGTTAGTTTGTTGATACCGACCTGTGCTTAACGATCTAAGCCAGTCGGTTGGAAAAAAACCGTGTTATCTGGGCATGAAGAATAAACCGATGAGGGTTATAGGTTAGCCTTTGATGAGG